TAGGAACACACAACAGCATTTCTCCTTAGTTGTCATCAAGACGTTAGAGGAGATCACCCTCTTACTCCCCTTTCAGACGGAACGAATTGGGTTTATGCATACATCCATTGGCATCTATGCTCCATAAATTTATGTACGTTTACGTGGTATTTCTTTGCTGTCAGGTCAAAACACCCATCAATAATTCGTTTTTTTTCACTTTCTGTTTATTCTCTTGGGGGCATAAATTCATACTTTGTTATTATTTGGAAAAGATTTGCGTGGTACGCATTAATTACGCTTCACAAAACTGGACGTGACAATTCACTGGATTTTCTTGTAACCAAAGCAATCTGCCTCATGTGCAAGTTTTATAAAACGTTTTGTCTGTAGTAGTGAGTATATTAGTCTATCTACCTTACTCTATGCTCGTAGTTTAATTTTATGACAGCTGGTTTTATTTCTCGGAAAATGTTAATGAAGGTGAGAGTGAGGGAGTATTTCCCTCAATCTTATCGTAAAATGCTGAATCCTCCTGCAAATCAGTTCTGTTGTAGCATACAGTATGAAGTCCTGCAGGAAATTTTCTTCTCAATGGTTCCTTAGTTTTAGATGGAAAATTTTCGACACCTTTCAGGCTGTATCGGGTAGGTGGATCCCAGACCCAACTGAACACTCACGTATCTCTTGCACCACATCGTACGCATAAAGTTGTCAAACTTGTGGAGTGAAGTGGTCCGCAACTTCGAAGCATGAGTAGAATCTAATTCTGTCGCCTTTACCGTTGCTTTATAATAAATTTAATACGAAACTTCTGCATTCATTCCTGCTACTTTATCTTTTCTGAGTTCCTTTTGTAGCTTGGTCCAGTTTCTGAAAAACATTATCTTCAAGATTGACTTCCACTGATCTTGAATTTGTTTGATGTACATTTTTCGTACCTGCAGAAGCTTTTCTTCAAATCTATTTCAGAATATTCATTGAAGGCGTCAGAACAACTCACCGGCCAGTAATAAAAACCTCAGCGGATCCTCCTCCCATGTGATATTATGACCAACTTTTATGAGTAGTCATGAGAGCATGTGTGATAGAGGGCTTCGTTGACACCAAAGTCACGTGAGAAAGAAAGGTCGTGAAGTCTAAGCAAATAGCTGCTCCTCTCTATACCGCCATGGTTGACAGTAGGTGGCAGGAGCTATCAATTATTTCGTTATTTAAAACACGGTGTAAAGACCCCTTTTCTCCAAATTCCATAGAAAATGTCTTTACCATTTTATAAGTTAACTTCACTAACTTTTTAATGAAGAAAAAAACATTTTAAGATCCAAGAAAAACAGGATTAGGCAAAAAATTCAAAAAATCAACCCACAACTTCTTTCCATGGACCAATGCACAAATCACCGCCCTCTCCTTGCCTGTAGGCCAGTGCCTTATTTTTTTCATTTTTTGTTTCTAACAAAACATGTCTCCTTGCAAAGTAAACACAAAAAATAGGAAGTTGTTTGTCATCTATGCCATTTTGTTAATTTGTTTTGCCTTGTCAAACAAAAGGCAGTTTATTTCAACCTCGCATCACATTGCAGAATTTGAATAGGAAAATATTTTTGGTATGTCAAAACTTGAAGTGTGCGGATTCTTCTTTCCTTCCTAATTTATTTTAGCTCTTCTTTTTGGATGAAATGGTAGGCAGTAGCTCTGGATGTGTTCTACAAGTCGGGTAGCATGAACCGAAAGAGAGGAACAGCTTCCTCTCATAAGCAAAAAATTTTACACCAGCACTTTTGCTCAGTTTTCAGAAAAATTTGTTCTCTCCCAGAACCGTCTAAGAATTTAGCAGAAATGTGAAGCTTATCACGTTGGCGTGCCTGTGCCACAGATGTAGAGATCTTATGGGATCTAGTCAACCCCAAGTCAGTCACAAAAACGAAAGGATTGGTGGAAGAGTGCAGAAAAGTTGGAGTTGGATGTCACTTTTATCCCCAGTTAAAACCTTCTTCCAACTTTAAGAAGCGACATTATGGGTTGTAGAATAAGGTAGTTATTTAGTATTCCAGTCAATCCCGTCAGGTAGGCAAAGAAGTTGAGGTGATAAACTATTTCCCTTCGGTCCTCATTAACTGCTTGGTGAAAGTCGCGGGAGCAAATAGGCAAGAAGGTCCAATCTATCATTTATTTGTTAAACTTCACTTCTTCATTTAATAAAAATAAGACCCTGGGAAAAGTTTTTCTTTCAGACTGATTGACTCACTGACTTTCAGCGTTAAGCAAAGGTTAAAAAGTGCTCTCTGAACCACACACTTCAAAGGGCCCTACTACTTCACTCCCGAAAAACTATGACTGGTTTGGGTGTCGTGTGGACTACTGCAGACGCAATGATGCGCTCACCCACGGAAGGCTAATCAGTATGGACAACGCTGATCTACCAGTTTTGACAGCTTCTGGTATCTTCCCTCCTTAATAGGAAATCACTAATTCATACTTATTTCAGTCTCGTGTTTGACTGGATGTAGGGAAGAATATCCATCAATAAGGTGGCCAGAATTAGGCACGAGTTTCAAATACAGGAGAGGTGGAATCACCACTAACTTGACCGGCAGTGCAAGAGAGATAGACGTCCCACTTATGAGTGGATGACCTTTCCACCTTGTGCTGTGATTCCATCCGGAGTCTCCTGCATTTATAGTAAAGTCTCAAGGGTCTGTTCCTACCACAGCACGTTGAATACCATCTAGATTGGAGTGGAGTGAACCAGAGTGACCAACGTACGACATAGAGGTCGGCTATTAGTACTCGCATTTTTCACATACCACTGCATTTAAGTCCATCGCCTACCTTTAAAATGCCTTTTTGTATGAACACCCCTTGCCTAATGCAGAAGTTTCTACGTCAACGTCATTAAGCCTTGCCCACAGCAGGCTATACTACGAATTAATAAACTCTATTCTACCCCATTTTCCTTATTATTTTTTCAGGTGTGCTTAGATTAAATAATTCAAGCCTGAACAAACACTTGTCAAAGTTGTCATTGGAACATTTCATGGGGGCCAAAATTTAGGTAGGTATAACATTCACCTCTCCCCTAAATGTTGCCAATTTTATTACTCTACGGGTGTTGTGTCACCCACCAGACTGTTAGCTGCGGCTCCTACTGAGCTCCTTTTCCATTATTCATAGAATCAATGAAATGTGACAATGTTGCTTTATATTTCGTCATCTGCGCGGAGCCTGGTTGCCCATCAGTATACAGTTTCAGTGGTAGTAACAGACTCCGTGCACTCTCATTTAAAAATACGTTTAATAAAATATGTCTCGAGTTTATTCACCCATAGAAAGGTGCTTTCGCCTCTACCCTTGTGACAACGTCAGTAATCATGAGGTCCTTATTCAAACCTGCCTCAGCTAGGCTTCAACAGCTCTATAAGCTTCTACTGCTAAGGATGTCTGTATCCCCGGAAATGGCTTTCCTCTTTTGGCATTCTAGATGTTTCAACAAC